TCGGTCATGTGCATTCCTTAACTTTAAGCGACATTTTGAGTCTTTATGGCAATCCCGAATGCGAGGCGACCTACTTTGAAGTACGAAACAGTTTCTGATGCAAATGACATTCCGCCAATACTAACACAAGCAGACAAAAAGAATCCGTGCATTCTTGGCAGGATCTACTTTGAACCACGCCAACCCAAGTCATGCTAAAACAAGACAAACTTTCTTTGCAACAATGGCGGTTCAAAGTCGTCTATAAATACGCCCGTTAACGCCTGGCGTTCTTTTTGGCGCGCTTTTGATAACTTGCTACATCACTGGGAGCATGCCAAAAATTCTACCATCTGGTCTCATTACAGTTTTACACTAAGTCTTTAACATTTACCTGAACTGTGCTCTTTACATGGGGACAAAGACCGCTTTGCGAACGGTTTGTTTGTGGTTTTCTGACGGCGAAAATTGTGGGCTGGATTCCGCATATCTTGTTATCTGATGTACAGTTTAAAAGAAACGTACTAGGATTTTTCAACGTAGACATTCGCATTAATTAAGACTTATAGAATTACATATACCAGCTTAATCATGTAACGTTCCGACATACAGCTCCCTCGACAAGTATGTACGGCCAAACGGACATTTTCAGCCGGAATAGGGCCGATGTAGTCTCGGTCTCATCACGTACTAGATCGAATATTGCGCAATTTTTAGTGATCGGGCGATGTTCGCTTGTCACCGGGCCCGTCCGATACAAGGGTTTTTTTGACGCTGGGGAAACCCCCAGAAGAAAAAGATACCGACCAAAGGTTCTTTTGTAGATTCTGCCGTAGAGTCTGCCGTACTGGTATCGGCCGTACCAGCCATGACATGCTTTGTGCAGCTATGCAGTGACTAACTGACGGAAGCTTTAGACCGTCTAGCAAGACAAGAGCCTAAGAAGAATTTTCAGACGACGATTCACTCGACTTTCCGGTGGTTTTGAGATTCGGTGGCCTTCTGGCGATCGCCCGAAGGACAGCGTGACTGCAGCTTTAGGGCCTTTGTGATACATAGTGCGATCACAAACTAATGGCATTTGGTGGGATAGGCCTGTGTGTGTCCTACAGCTTCAGCTGCATATTGTTACGTAAAGAGTGGCCTTAGATCCTTGTCCTGTGGTTGGTTCTGTCATAGCCTGCTAGTTGAAAATTCTACGGCACAAGAATGGCGCAATGACCTGTACGAATATGTGACCGCGCCGTTCAGACGGGTATGAAGGGCCGATGGATCGGACCAGTCCTTCCCGCACAAAACGCCATAGAATGGACCAAAGTCAACTGGCACGACGTTCTCATGGCCTAAAAAGTAGCACCAGATCGCTGATAGAAGCTATCTCTATCTTCCAACATTAGGACGCCGGGCACAATGGTTAATTGATTCGTATCAAGCGTCCCCCGTCAGAAGCCGTCTGGTGGACGCATTTGTCTTGTTGAAAGCCGCGGGCTACTCTCCTGGCAGAGTTAGACTGGAAAGATTTTCTGACGGAGCGCCGACCCTTACGGTGGCGTATTGGATACTACAGCTAGTACATGTATGTGTCTTGCCTATTGGATTTAGTCTTGCGTGTTGAATGTCAGTAAATGTCAATATCAGACAGATTTCCCCATCCGTAATATATTTTTATGACCTCCCTGAAACTGCATTGGATGCCTTTACACTGCAATTAAATTCAGTTTTAATTGCACGATTGAAGAGAAGCTTTCAGACTTTTGAGGGCCCATCCTTGCGTGTGCAACTTGCTTGTCCCTGGCCTGTATATGGACGTGGACACTAATAATCCACCGTCTTAAGAACAGCCTCCAGACTGAATGGACCTCGCTGAGTGCACACTTATCCAGGGGGTACATTAGAGGCGAAGGTTAACTAAGTAACTCACGCCACGTGCTGGTCAAACACGTGTCTGGACTTCTTAGGGGGGGGGGGGCAAAACTGGACGTTTGACCTTAAATGGTCTTAGCATATCATTGTCCATCTTTGTAGATCTATATCCTGATGTAAGGTATGTAACGGGGTGGTAGACGTGTGTGTGTGAGTGTATATGTGTGTGTGTGTGTGTGTGTGTGTGTGTGTGTGTGTGTGTGTGTGTGTGGTGTGTGTGTGTGTGTGTGTGTGAGAGAGAGAGAGAGTCTGTCTCTCTCTTCCTCTCTCTCTCTCTGTATGTGTTTGTGTCTGTCTGTTCTATTTGTATGTATGTTTGTGTCTGTGTCTGTGTGTTTGTCCGGCCAGTTTCCACTACATCGGGGTGTCTAGGGGGGGTCAGAAAAGCAGCCAGGCAGAAAACGTGGCAATCTTCCACTCAAACGCGTACTTAGAGACTGCCTTTGTTCAAAACAGCAGGCAGAGATGTCTTTGCCCCAATGAATTAGGTTATTCGGTACAACCTGAACTGAAATGAACTCCATTTGCAATGTTATAGGTCATTACAGTGCGCTGCTGTTAACGAAATTGACATCCACTCAAAGCCTCTTGAATTAGTGCAATTTGATACGTTTCTTTTCATTTAAAAATCACTACACACCGGAGATATCCAAGAGGGCCCGCATGCCCTTTTCCGTAGAGTGTAATCGCCCGTTTGAATTCTACGTGAAGCGTTGTAGATACGTACCTGGAATTTCTCGTAAAGTGCAATGGGGGAGGCTTCTTGAATTCAGCGCAATACATACATGTAGCCAGCTCTCAAAATTTAGCGTAGCTCGTTGTGGGGATTCCCCCATGCAGGCCCTCATCCTTACGATTGATCTAATCATTTAATCAAGTTTATTCACCAACACACAGCTAGCGTTCTTTTTGTAGATGACGTTTGTCCTTAGTTTCTCTTTTTTTTTTTGGAGGCAGAAACGGTAACCTAAACTTTAACTGACTCACACCAAGATAGGAAGAGTCTAGAACATTCTGTGTAAGACCACAGACATCTCAAACTGTTACGTCTGACCTTTCTCTTGAGTTGGCGCCGGATGGATGCTTAATGAGGCTTAAAAGGTCAAACCTCACTGGTCCATTGTTTCATGTGACAATCACGCCGAAGTAAGGCGACATCCAACCTGGTAAAACCGGTTTCTAAACATCGCCGCAGCCTTTATTTTTACGACGTCTATCATGTGTTGCCAAGTTGCTGGCATAGAAAATCTTTGCCCAATAAGTAGACTTAAGAAATGCTGAAGTGTGAATATCATGGATAGATCCAAGTGTTACATCTTAGGCTACTTTTAAAGATCATACTCAGAAAACATCACAAATACGTCATACAACGTCATATCCTGTCTTAGGTTGTGCCGTTAAGAATGACTCTGTCTGGTGTGTTCGTTGAACCAGAAAATACGACCAAACAAAACATATGACAACGAAAAATCTCTACAAAACCTTTAAAAAAACATTTGACGAGAGGTATGGTGTCAAATTTTGCTATTTGGGCTTGACATATCCATATACAGGAACTAGTAGTCCGTGAGACCGGGATTTTCTGTAAATGAGTTTTCTCTCACGCCCTGCCCAAGTCCCACGCCTCAAACCCCGGTAATTATCGCATACCTTTGATCTCATCTGCATTTTGCACGGGCGTCTGACGCAAGTAGTCCTTTGTTCTACATGGTCCGGACAACAGTCTTTTGCTGATTTGTCCCGTGGGTTTTTCAACGTTTGTGCTTTCTCAGAGGTTTTAGTGGTAAGCAACTTTGGACGCGTTCCCATATACTAGTATGTAATGATATGTGATGACTGCGCCTCTAGCTTATCTGTCAACTTTGAGGACCACACAACGGCTGTGACTGAACTAACCGTCGACAAGGATCTAAGATCCTTGATCTTAGATCCTTGACTATCCTAAAAATGCGCTCGGTTTGCGATCGTACAGCATTCCCAGGACGTTTTAACGGGACTCTAGTTTAATTATTAATTATCTGACTTCGTCACAACTGAATGATGGTTCAAGAAAAGAAGAAGACAGAAACCAGTAGATACAATGAATGTCGTCATGAAAACATGTCGATGTTGAAATCTGTCTTACAGCATTTACAAACTTTTGTATCTTCACCAGTTTTGAGGTCCGGGATCAACGACAACCTGCCACGACAAGGATCAAGAAGCTCGTCCTCCGGAGGTAAGGTGCCCATTTCCTCTGTGTAATTTTTTTTCTGTGGCATGGCATATATAAATTGTGTTAAGGGCGGTCAGTGTTGTTGAATCAAAGAGCGAGCCAAGAAACTACGAATATCATGTATTATAAATGGTTCCTGGTGTTCTTACAGTACGTTTTATGGTGAAGTCCATCTTCTAACAGTCACTGTAAACACACCGCCAAACTCTATCCCGACTTGTCTTTCCAAGCCAAAATTTATGATTTAAGGTTGTCCACAATGACATAGAAATGACCTCTGCAGTCTGGAGAAGACCAATTCTTAACCGACTACATAGTAACTATAAACGTATCATGAGTGGTTATTACTCTGACAAAAGATGACCCAGGTCTCTTTAATACATTTCTTGTTAAAATCATTTGCCTGTCTGGACAGAAAACAACCCGTACAGCACGTTTTTGTTACCTCTTCAGGGTTTCGTGACATGCTGACATATCATGGCGCGTTCTAGCAACAACTCATCACATTTGGCCTCAGCTTAGATCTACGAAGACTCTAAAAGATCTTTGAAGACCAAGATATCAATGAAGGTGACTCTCGCTCCCGCATTCATATCTATTCGTTGATGTCTAGAGTTTTTTTTTTATTCCAACATGTAATCACCAGACGTGGTGACGACACACTCAAGTTTTTTCAACTTATATTAATACCGCCACCAACACAGGGGACAAATACATGACAGCACAATACTCATTTACACCTGAGCTGAGTGAGGAAAGTCGTGTAAAGTGCCTTTCCCAAGGGCACAAGATCGGTGGCATGTCAGGACTCGAACCCGGGACTCTAAGTTCCGAGTCGCGCACTCTGCCGCTACGCCACACGACCCCACTAGTGTTGTTAGGACGCCCTTTTATGATTGGAAAAGAGTGTACGTAGTTACTAAATAATGTAGAGCACTTTGACATTTGGTGAAATCAACCAGGCAGCTTGATGGGACGAATCGGATCTATTATATCGTAAATTCAAGTGGCGAGCACTTGGGCTACATCGATTTGCTCTTTCTTGTGTAAAATGAGTCATATCTGATAGATTCCAAGAACACAAACGTATCATAAAGATTGATTGATTGACTGATTGTTTGATTGATTGATTGGTTGATTGATTGATTGATTGATTGATTGATTGATTGATTGATTGATTGATTGATTGATTGATTGATTGATTGATTGATTGATTGATTGATTGATTGATTGATTGATTGATTGATTGATTGATTGATTGGTTGGTTGGTTGGTTGATTGATTGATTGATTGATTGATTGTTTTCCGTGCAGGTAAAGCAACATGGCTAAGCCCATGCAGGCAAACCCATGTAGGCAAGAAATAGAAGACATCACCAACAAAAAGACAACATGTACAGAAAGCAGCATAACCTCGAGGTTTGAAGAGGACAGGTAACATTTTAGTGCAAAATATGATCCCATAGATCTCCAGTTGTAAGATGTTGTATTTCTTTTGATAATTCTAATAAAGTTTATTCACACTGCATATAATTACTATCCAAAAAGGTATCTAGAGATATCTGAGTATGTGTTGTGTGTGTATGTTTCTGGCCTTTGTGCGTGTATGTGTGTATGTGTGAGTGAACAAGCTCAGTATACGCAGAAGTGTAAAGTATTTTCCGGCACAGTAACCTTTCCATTCGTTTCCAGCTGACAGGATTCCAGACAACCCAAACGACAAGAAACAGTCAGCCAGGCAGCAACATGAAGAGGACAACAGGCCGCCCATCAGTAAAAATAGGATAGCAAAACGACCAGGTATCCCAGGGGTACAGTTGGAGTCACTTCGGCATATTTTAAGACGGTTCAAGTTGATTTATTTGTTTTACTCTTTTCGGTGTGGATGGTTTGGGCAAAACAATAAGCAAACAGTATATAAAACAGCTCTTTAGTCAGCAACCATTGGGTTTTACATCCTTGTTAAAAATGAAAAACCCACCTTCTTATATACTCTCTTGCCAGCCTGAAGAAAATACGAAATAAGCAATCAAGTCATCAACACAACACTGTAATACATCTGACTTATGTCGAACATTTTCACATGACATTTCAGCCAGTCAAGCATGCATCCCTGGGACACCACCACTTGAAACACACAGGCACACAGACAAAGGAAACAGAACATTTTGAAGAGCGTCACAAGAAAAGATATAACCTCCACGTAACCACGATGCAGTGCAACTGTTGAGTCGTCGAAACTTCAGTGCACGAAAACTCTGAAGAGAAAACAATACACGCAGACAAACGGAGTCTTTTTCTCGGAAGGGAACATTCATATACACACAGGAACACAAATACAGCTACAGGCACTACAGGCAAAAAAGGAACTACATTGCACAGCATTTCTAAAAAGCATCAGAAGACGAAGCTAAGAAGGCCAGGATACAGATTGATGATCCTGCATGAATACTCAAGAGGGTAAACACGAGACACACAGACATTGCCAAAGAGCGATTTTCATCATTTACTATACATAAAAAACAACAACAATGATCTCAGCCAAACAGACATTCAATCCCGGGGACACACGAACACATGGAAACAAGTCACCTACATCATCGTCATCATCAATCATTCCATAGCTTGGCACGACTAAATATGACTCACGACAGCCAATGGCAATTGCCCAGTATCACCTTTCTTGGGATCGATTTTTGTGCTACTGTATTTAAGAACAATCCATCAGATACCTCAGTGATCTACACACACATCCACACAGTCAACTGCAGCAAACCAACAACCATATATTGCATGCAAACGTCCATCACATGGAATCTATCTTCAATCAGCAAACGACCAATGGTCACCGATGTTCAACACACATCCAGAAGAAAACAACACACAAAAATACCATTTCCAGTGGTAATCACTAACTACATGTTGCAGGAACACAACTTCTGCCAATTGTAACAGGTCTGTATCTATAATTACCAAGTAATTCACCATGTTCATCACTACATTTGATTTGCACAGTTACATACCAATTAACAATGTTCTTGGCAACAAAAGCACTCATCCAAACAGCATCTACGTACGTATACTGCACCAACATGCACGTACAGCGGATACGCACCACTTCAGATACGGATATACCATTTAGTGTCCACACATTTGTACAGACTTGTTCATCATACAGGTAAGTCCCTCACCTACATTTCATCTGTCACTGCACATGTAATACCATAAATATCAACGATTGCACCTTCACCAAGTCACTCATGATCATGTAACATGTAAACATAATGCACACTCCTTGATACTGGTTGTGTGTTAGTCACCTTATTATCTTCACAGCACTTGTGCCATTATTCTCAGTAACACTTTAACGCCATGTCACTCATGCAATCAGCATACAAAACATAGCACACACTTCTTAATGAAAGTAGATGCTATTACAATATCACAACAATATAATTCAATTGCATTGCAGTTGTAGGCTACCTATGGCATATAACTCATTATAACAAATGGTCATCCTGATATATGTACATGTAGCACACACACACAAACAGTGTTATGATAGCTCCTTCCAACACCGTCAATTTAATAGTAATTCTTTACAAAAGATAAACTGCTAGTATTGTACGTTTTAATTTTTAACAGTCATTCACAACACATTCATCACAAAACAGACATTTTCGTTCACTACACTTTCAGATCACCACCACAACACTACAGCCACGACACCTCCAACCACCTACCAACAACCTACCACCATCTTATGTCCGCACTCTGGAAGGAATACAAGACACGTAAACAATACTAAAACAACGACAAAACAAACCATCAACAGAGACTAAAAACATCTCAACCAATCAGGAACACATGACACCTGGAACAACGACATAAAAACACGACAATAAACTATTTACACCTCGTCCTCTTGTGTCTGATGCAACAAAACATAACTGCCAATGATCATCACTTAGCAACATCTGCAACTTTCATCATCATCAACATCTTCCCTTGATCTGTTTATGTGTTTGTATGCACTCCATTTCCATGTTGACACACGGATCAGGTCCACAACATTGACACCTAACAATCATTGCATCATCTACAGTCAGCACACTTTCCAATGGAATACAAGACACGTAAACAATACCATCACCAGTATACGACTAAGTACCAAGAACAGTGCATTCACCGACTTTATCAGGTCTGTATATGCTCTATACTTGTTTATGTTGCTACGCTTTTGCACATTTGCTTGACACGTTTGCTTCACAACAAATGTCACAGTTCTGTCACTCATCTAAACAGTCTCTTCATCGCCTACATAGTACACGCATGCTGGATACTTACCACATCCGACATGGATATACCACACTGACATTTGTAGGATTAACTGCAGAATGGTAAGTACACAGACATTACAGCCCATCATTTCACACGTACAAACAACGCTGCTTCATCACCAATGACACATACATGGAAGCAACCGAGGTCGCTGCTGACGGGTGCCGAAAGAGTTGCTCGCAACAAAATATCCAACAGCTCTTCTCTAATTCGCCTCATACATTACATTACAACATTTGTCGTACATACAGGCATAACTCATTAACGATTCACATTCCTTCAAAATAACACTCAATACTGTAACACACCAAGCAACAGTTCCTATCGACGCACACATATAAATATAATTCATACATAGATCCTTACAACATACAACTTACACAGTGTTACTCAAATCACAAATAAAGATGCATTCATTGCAATTCAAATACATGTTTGGTCATTCATTGCAATAGCATGCAGCATACATGTGTAAAATGAGATATATACATACATGTACAATAACACATACACACACATACATACATGTACATACAATAACACACATATACATACACACACACACACAAATATGCTTACACAAACATACATGCGCTTACAAAACCAAACACACGCACATTAACACACAAATATACATATTACACAGTCATACACATATACATACATACATACGCACTCACGTACATACATAACTGTAGACACTCTAACATACACTCAAACACACCGATATACACACACATACGTTACCCCCGCACATATACACACTCGCATGTACTCAGATACACAAACAACCATTCATATATGCACACACGAACGCTCATCCATACATACATACATTCATACAGGAACAAATACACTACCACATACGAAAATACCCACAAATACACAATACCCCACGTCCACACACATCACGATCACTCACAAACATACTAACGTACACAAACACAATTACATACACTTCACAGTCACAAATACAAACACACACACCTACATATCCAGAAATACACACACGAGCTCATACTTCCACACGCCTAAAAAATTCACACACAAATACATATTAACCCCCTCACACACACACACACACAAACAAACAATACATCAGCACACACAAACACACTGATATGTATTTATAGTATGTAAACATAACAAAAAACTCTCACAGATATACTCCTCAAACACAAACATTCACACCAGCAGTCACTAAACAAACCGATGATTTATTACTATGTTACACATAGCTCCATATCACCACAACAAGCATACACACTTTTATGTAAACGCACACACACACAAACCAACAAAAACTAACCAATGCATCAAAACACCCAAATTCATCCAAATGGTACATACAATACAAATACACAATACAAACTCAGACACACTAAGACGTGCAAACCCAACTACAAATTAACAACATACATTAACTCACCAGTACATTTACAAATACAGAATAACTAACACACATCAACTCAATAACACATAAACAAATGCAAACACATCAAATACAATTATAAACTAACCAACCTCACCTCACCGGTCCCATAGCAGTCTGCCCTGCCGTCGGGCAACTAAACTAACCAACACATGTCACAAATACGAACTAACCCATCGAAACAAACACCTATACATCATACAAACTGAAAACATCAACACACACACACAAAATTCATCAATACATCAGCACAAACTTACCAATGCACTAACATATACACAAATTCATCAATACAACAACACAATCTTACCAATACATCAACACACACGCAAACTTACCAATACATCATGACACACACAAACTTATCAATTTAACAACGCACAAACTTACCAATACATCAACACACACACACACGTATGAATACATCAACACACACACGAACTTACCAATACATCAACACACACACACAAATTTACCAATACATCAACACACACAAACTTACCAATGCATCAACACACACAAACTTACCAGTGCATCAGCACACACAAACTTACCAATACATCAACACACACAAACTTACCAATACATCAACACACAAACTTACCAATGCATCAACACACACAAACTTACCAATACATCAACACACAAACAAACTTACCAATACATCAGCACACACAAACTTACCAATACATCAACACACACAAACTTACCAATACATCAGCACACAAACTTACCAATACATCAACACACAAACTTACCAATACATTGACACACACACAAACTTACCAATACATCAGCACACACAAACTTACCAATACATCAGCACACGAACTTACCAATACATCAAGACACAAACTTACCAATACATTAACACACACACAAACTTACCAATACATCAGCACACACACAAACTTACCAATACATCAACACACACAAACTTACCAATACATCAACACACACAAACTTACCAATACATAACACACACAATTACAATACATTAACACACACACCCAAACTTACCAATACATCCACAATTACAAACACACAGTCACACAAACTTAGGATATACACCAAACACACACACACACACACAAAACTTACCAATACATCCCACACAAGCACAAAATACACCAACACACAGACAAACAGCTCACCAATGCATCAGTAAAAACAAAATCACCAATACACCACCATGCACAAAATCACCAATACACCACCATGCACAAAATCACCAATACACCAACAAACACACAAACTTACCATCAACACACACAAAATCACCAATCATCACCACACACAAAATCACCAATACACCAACAAGCACAAAATCACCCATACACCACCAAGCACAAAATCACCCATACACCAACAAGCACAAAATCACCAATACACCAACACCCACAAAATCACCAATACACCAAAAAAAGCACAAAATCACCAATACACCAACAAGCACAAAATCACCAATACACCAACAAGCACAAGATCACCAATACACCAACAAGCACAAAATCACCAATACACCAACAAGCACAAAATCACCAACCCACACAATATTACCAATACACCAACAAGCACAAAATCACCAACCCACACAATATCACCAATACACCAACAAGCACAAAATCACCAATACACCAACAAGCACAAAATTACCAACCAACACAATATTATCAATACACCAACAAGCACAGAATAAGTTAATACACCAACACACACAAAATCACCAATACACCAACAAGCTCAAAATCACCAATTATACAGCAAACACAAAATCACC